TGGTTTTTTTTTTTTTTTTTTTTTTTTTTTGGGCCACGTTTTCTCCGTGTCGCTAGCAAGGGGTCTCAACCCTGTCCGCAACCCAACGTACCACATCCGCTCATCCTTTCCACGCATCAGACCCAGTTCTCTACGAGCGCCTCATCAGGCGCCATCAGACCCCCCAGGAGCGCCAGGCCGACCGTCTCCGGAAAGGCTACGCGCACGTCCTGGAGGTCCATCTCGCGCGCGGCGAGTCCCAGCCCTCGGCAGCGGCTCCCGCGGCGGCGGGCGAGCCGGCCCCCGGGTTCCCCGCGCCGACGCCGTGGGCGCCGAGCCCGCACGTGGAGCCCGTCTGGGATGAGCAGGCGCCGACGAGGGAGCGGGGCAGGGCGCTGTGGAGGGAGTTTCTGCGCGAGAGGTTCATCCACGGCGGGGACGAGGATTTCCGGTACGGGGATGTGGATGGCGATGAGGATCTGGATGGGGAGGCCAGGCGCGAGGAGGAGGAGAGGTGGTTTGGGGACGAGGAGGAGCGGTGGGTGGGGGTCACGCGGGAGGGAGAGACGGGCGTGCAGGACTTTTAGGGAAGCGGTGTTTGGGACGCCAAGAGGCGGCGGTGTAATGACAGACAGAAATGGCCAGCAAAAAAAAAAAAAAGGTCGGATCGTGGGAGAGGACGTTGTTTGAAAAAATGACGCGCATCAAAAGAGGTCAGTATCCTTAAAAAGAAACGTCTCCGGTACAGGGAATCGAACCCTGGGCTGCTCGGTGAGAGCGAGCGATGTTAGCCACTACACCATACCGGATGATGTTTGATTGGAGAACAAGCCCACTATTACTACACATGTAGCTCAGCTCATTGTCCTCTAATCATCGAGCTGAACGTCGAATAGCAAGGGCTACGTTCTTTTGCTCGCACGATGCAGGGGCCAATGTCTTCTTCCGTTGCCAAAATCGATCCGCCTCAGATAGCCAGTCAGCATGCTCTCTCTCTGTCCCAACGCATTTGTCCGTCAGGGGAAAAAGGAACTCGACTCAAGCACCGGGGTTTCTTGTCCGGACTCCGAGCGGAGCTTGTCTCGAGCGTGTTGAGAGATTCGTCAGCTTTAGACGGAGCCTTTTGATCTGAGAACTCGTCCTTCCCGTATTTCTCTGCTGGGCACAAAGAGGACATTTGTTCGCATTGGTGTGGCGCCAAGGAGACAGGCCCCTCGATGGCGCCTCTATTCCTGACTCCGAGACCCAATCAGCAGTGGTCATACAGATCACAATACGGATCGACAATGACAAACCAGACACTTGCGTTTAGTCTATTCTGAATGGACTCTGGATCGGCTGGCCTCAGTGCTACGAGGGAAGCAGTGAAACATCACATCCCTCCGCACCAAGACCCAACGAAGCACGCCCCCGTTGGGTAGGTCAGTCCGGCGGCACAAAGGCTCGTGTAGCCGTCTGGTTCGATACTATGCATCATTTCTCACCAGGACATGTCCCGATCACTCTCATGGATCCAGAGTCGAGCCAGTCCATCGCCATGGACGTTCACGACGGACGACCTTTGGACGCAGTGCGCGTGCATAGATGCCAAGACTGGTATTACGTGTCTCGTTCGACGTAGGTAGACGCACTCTTTGTGCTCATGGAACGAGCAAGAGCCATGTAGAACATGGTTTACGCGTCGCGGAAGATTCTCGAGCCCGTGCGGGGACCAAGGAGAAATCAGGTACTTGCTGGGCCTAACGGGAGGACGTATAATGGCTGCACGATCACGATTGTGAGCTGAGCCAAGGCATGTATCACCTCGGACGTTCAAGTCGAAGAGGCAACAAGTTGAATATGAGAGTTGTTTCGAATACCGGTACATATTCCGGACGTCTTGTAGACGAGATACTAGACAGTACCAAACTTGGTTGAGATCTTGAGCTGTTGCAGTCGTCAACGGGAAGCTCAAAGAGGGGGCAATGGAAGGCAATGGAAGCGGAAGGATGATTTGCAAAAGGTTCTGACTGGCTTTCGTCTTGGAGAGTCCGAACAGAATGTTTTTTGTGCCAAAAGTCGGACTAATTTTCAAGAACAAAAACAAAAACAAAAATAAAAATAAAAAAAAATAAAAAAAGGAGAAGCATCACGGAAATTGACCCCGAATGCGCAGTGGGCCGCGACCATACATACCAACAACCTTGAACTCAGGGCCTATTTCCTCTATACGAGCCCGACACGTCGAAGAAGCGATGCTGTCTGATTTTCCAATCATGGCATGCGCAGCGCAGGTCGACGTTTCGAGAACTTGATGCGATGCACAACAGTCTCGAACATGTTCGTTTGCACCCCGTCCTATCCCCTGCTTGTCAATCCATTCATCACATTCGTCACAGGCTTGGACGCTCTGCTGCAACGCACCGCGACCCGGCAAATCCGTATGTGATGCCGAGGTTCGGAATTCGGGAAATGCGGCGCAATGACACGACAGACACCGAGTCCGTCGCGCATGCTTTGCCAAGCTTTTTCATGTGAAGGAAAAAAAAAATAAAAAAAAAATAAAAATAAATAAAAATAAATAAAAATAAATAAAAATAAATAAAAATAAGAGAGAAATGGTTGCAGAATAACTGCAGAGAAGAATGGCACCCGTCCTACAGCATCACGGACGCGAGGCGCAGCACACCATGTCGAGGCCCGAGAAGTGCACCTTGTTGTTTTCGTCAGGCCAACGGTTGAGACTGTGCAAGGTCACGTTGGACGACGGTTGTTGTTGGTTGGCATTGGTTATCATGTTGGGTTTGTTGGTTTGTTAGTCCGGAGCTGGTCAGACAGGATTTTGTTTGGCGTCTTATTGGCAAACCGCTTGGCGGGCGAAAAAGCATCGGCAAGCCGCAAGGGCGTCGCAGACATAGACATGGCACGGGGCCACAAGGCGGGAATGGGTTGGGCCGGGCCGCTGGAGTTCGGAGTCTGGACGACTGGACCGGTCAAAGATGGTCTTTGGTCGGGTCCATTGCTCATGGAGTCGTGGCCGAGCGGCACGGCCTTGTTGATGCTCGTACTCGGACTTGGGTGTGAGTGTGACGGCGGCGAGTCTGGGAGTGGCAGGACGGGCAGGACTGGCAGGACTGGCACAACTGGCACAACCGGCACAACTGGCCGGCACAACTGGCCGGCACAACTGGCACAACCGGCACAACTGGCACAACTGGCACACACCCCACACGCCCCACGCGCAGCCTCCGGAGCAGCAGACTGCTACATTGCCTGCATGTGGCGACGGTGATCAATGTTTGTTTGCAAGCACGGGCGAAACGCCAGGTCAACCCCTTCACCAGCAAGAGACGTGAGTCGTGACAACACTTGGGCAACATCCAAGGCCAGGGCCAAGGCCAAGGCCAAGCCCAGTCACGTATCCCCATCCACATCCCCATCCACATCCCCATCCACATCCCCATCCACATCCCACACCCCTGCCCACCCACCCGCACACGCCCATGATTGGTGCACAAACCGCACTGGGCGCTCTGGAGCCCCTGGAGATGAAGATTCATGCTGGGGACGGGCCACACGGGTGGCAGCTGCCCGCACGCCCTAAGGCCCAGAGCAGGCTGGGCGGAGCTGGCAGTTTGCAGCTGCCCGCACGGACCACCAGACCAGACCAGCCCACCTGCTTGCGCCCAGTGCTACACTGCCAGCCAGCTGTCATGGATGGTACATGCCGTCTTGTGAATCCCGCGACAAGAAGGTGCAAGCGAGCTCGGAGCAGGTACCTGAGCCCGTGAGGAGTAAGTGACGAGGTCAACGGAGCTTCCATGTTGCCTCGCACCCTTGGAAGTCGGTATCTGCCACGCCACTCGAGTACCTTTTTACATTACTAAATATCCAGGCATGTAAAGTACAGTACCTACGTGCACACGTGGACTTGGTAGGCGCCCAAGTACTTAGGTACCTACTTTAGCTAGGTAAGTACTTACTTAAGTACCTAGTATCTACCTCGGTACTTGGCTACCATGGATAAGGACAGGGAGAAACATTGAAATCCTCCGTCCGGACCAGGGCGCAGGCATTTTCCAAATTCCCACTATCCGCCGCCACCACTTCCGCAGCTGCACATGCAGATTCAAAGACTCGCCAGATCCCGGCACTTACATGTTGAATCCCGCCTCCAACAATGACGCCCCTCTCGACAGAAA